ATAATAAATAAATCCTACAATTATCTTACTCTTAAAACTGTCCATTCGTCTCATTCTCTCGAAACTTAGATTTTTGAAGGTTTCACTTCTAACACTTGTGATCTGCAGACATGATTTTTTTTAAATAAGTTCGAGTTGAATTATTAGCTATAACAATACACAAAAACAATATAATCATGTGTAAATTTATTGATTAAACAATTTATAATAACCAGAAAGAATAATTATTGAAAATACTCACTTGAAGGTAAGAAGTCATCTTTAATAAAATTATATAGAAAAGAAATACCACGTTTGGTAAAATAAAAACATACCACGCACCTTCTTTGTTTATGTCGACCGTCGGTTCGTTTGGACCTTATACTTTTGTCGCATACCTACGTGCTTATCTCTGTTTATTCTTCTACCCTTTTATCGCTCCTACCTACAAAACATCTCGAGTATCGACATAATATGTGTCCACGCCCTGTAGTATGCAGTTGTACTTGTGTGCAACACATACATATACAACCAGGAGCGATAACTACGAAGCATAGCATAAAGAGGAGACCGAGAATAGGAAAAACTGTATAGCTATATTCCGTCTCATTCTCTCGCAGGCTCAATATTATATGTTTATCTCTTTTTCTCTCGTTATTTAGTATAGCAGCCGTTTCATAGCTTCGTTACATAGCTCCGTTTCCGTTTATTTACTTTTCAGATCATTCCCATTCTAAAGAAGTTGTCACTTCAAAAATTAGCTTATCCTCAATTATTATTTTTCTGACGTTGCTAGCTCCCGGACTATGAGTATAAGAGCGCACTATGAATACGGCGGTAAGATCGATAGCGTATTAAACAGGAAATAAAAGAAAGGAAGAACTAAATATTAATGTTATCGTCTACATGATAAGAAAAACAAAGTACATTTCGAATAGTTGAAAAAACTTCCAAATTTTGAATTGCAAAAATTACTCAATGAGAATTCAGTTCAAACGATTTTTAGAGTTTTTGAAAGCGTTGTGTTACTTTAAAAAAAATATATTATTAAAGAACGCTTGCATACAATAAGAAAAATTCATAATGAAGAAAAATGATAACCACGCATTAACTAAATTTACCACCTTATATATTTGACAGAAAATTGAAAAGAAAATATAAATATAAATGTTTATTTACATATTTTTACATTTCTATATAATGTCAATTTAAGAATATAATTATAAAAATACATAAAAAATATTACAAATACGTATACTGTAAAGAAATATTAATAATAGAGTCTCGTTTAATTTGAACTAATATTTTTAACAGGTAATATAAATTAACTTGAAATTAGAAAAAAATAATAATAAATACAAACTTTTTTATATTTTGTTAAGTATCTTTTCAATTTCAATTCTTATTAAACAAAATGCTGCTATATATATAAATGTATATGTATATGTATATGATATATAATGAAAGTATGAGCACCAGGATGGTATTTTCTTAGAAATTATAAAGAGTGTGTGTTTTGTACGACAAATGATTCTGCTAACCATAAGTAATAGGACGAATAACAGAAAACTAAATATACAGCATTGTAAAAAATAGTTTTGTTACCATATTGAAGATCGCTGACGAGATATCTCGTTTTTCGTATTGTGTTGCTAAGGGCTATTGATAAGACGTTTCAATTATTATAAATATAATACAGCTATCCCTCCAATAGTCTAAGATCTGGCTGCAAAATTAGTGCATTCATCGAGTGTTTACTAAAAACCTAATTTTTACGTATATTTATGATTAGGAGAATATATATCTACCAGGTTGTTGCCTATCAAAATGTGGCCGCAAGTATTTTTAATTAAATTATTGTTAATTAATTTTTCGAAAAAAAATTCATTCACTTGTTTTTTAAATAAAATATCATCCACTTCATGGCAATATATGTAAAGACTTTGAAAAATCACGGTTGCCGTTGCGCACTTTACCGCACCTCTTCGCAGCCAGGTTCTAAACCACCGGTGCAAACAGTAGCTCCAAAACAGCGTGGTTAGAATAATAATGTCGCAGCTATTCAGTTGAGAACATTAGCGTTCGACGCATGCGCAGTGGCTTTGAAGTGTCGTACAGCTGGGAATTGCTATCCTCGTCTGACAAGTGATGTTGCACGCTAACTCTCTTTTCCTCTACCTTTCATATTTACCATCTTTAACTGCCAGCAACCCTTATTTGCGGCCAGATTTAATTAAGCAACCTTATATATCATAATAAACAGAAAAAAATTAGCTTTAACTTGATATATAAGTAATAAATGTTCATTATAAGCGTATAAATATATCAAAATCATACCTGTTTACACCTGGCTGCAAAGAGGTGCGGCAAAGTGCGCAACGGCAACCGTGATTTTTCAAAGTTTTTACATATATTGCCGTGAAGTGGATGATATTTTATTTAAAAAACAAGTGAATGAATTTTTTTCCGAAAAATTAATTAACAATAATTTAATTAAAAATACTTGCGGCCACATTTTGATAGGCAACCTGGTAGATATATATTCTCCTAATCATAAATATACGTAAAAATTAGGTTTTTAGTAATCACTCGATGAGTGCACTAATTTTGCAGCCGGATCTTAGACTATTAGGAGGGATCTTAAAGAAATAAGCTACGAGGACCGCGAATGGAGAGGTCGCGCTCAGGAACGGAACATCCTAATGCCAATTAATAATAATTATATATTTAACAGTACTTAGCTTGAAGATAAATTGCGAAAACGTTTAATGTAATTTAAGACGAAATAGCCTAATAATTCACAAAATTTGTAGATGAAAAATTTTTTTTTAATACAGCTATTCACATATAATAAAGAACATCTGTCAAAAGTTTCCTTACTTTAAATACAGCACAGAATAGGCTATATCTAAAATAAACATGAACAAGATTTTCATGATTTTCAAATGCATCGATACTTGTTATGTTTAATGTAACACAATTTTGATATGTTTTGTCATAGAGGCCATGATCGTTAAGATTAAATATAAAACAATATAGTAAATAACAAATATTTTAAAAAAGAGAGTCTCTATTTATCAGCAATTCTCTAAGTTTTATTTACAATTAAACAAATTTTAAGAATAACACATAATAAAAAAGCTTGTTACTCCAATATCTTACTAAAGAAAAAATACTTCACAAAATATTCCAAACCTTAACACAAATATTTTTAATATATGTTTAATATATGGCATAAGTAAAAAGATGAATAAAAAGCACTTGGCACTTAATGTTTTTACCAATATACTGATAACTTTGAAATCTAGTAATAAAATAGCATTGAGAACAAATGTTTCCCACCGTCTGATGTATTTCTTAAGATACTGTTTTTTTTTTAATTTTCTAAACATTTTTTCCATGTATCCAAAATTAACGAAGATATATATATATATATTACCTATTCAATTACCTAGTATACTTACAAATATTAAATAACTTCACATGATGTTCCCTTAGCAGTACTCAAATTTATTAGAAAGAAATGAAAAAATTCATTCTATTTCTCAGTATAATTAAAAAGTTTTTTAAGTATTAATAACTGTATATTGTCATAGTTTCTTGTTGTAATGTAATAAAATATTTAACTTTCTGATTTTATTATTAAATTACTTTGTTTATGCTTTCTAAAACAATTTCATATCGAAAAGTTACTTGTTTATTAGAAGATAATATCTATTTTATTAACTACAAATATAATTAACAAAATGACCATTAGACTTATAACTATATGCTACATCATATTTATAACCACGATCTTTAAAATAAATTTCTATGCACTACATACTGTGCACATAATAAAAATTCAGCAAACTTACGTTTCAAGATCGTATTAAAACAGCCACGTTGTTCAGTACTTGTAAAGACAGTGATATATAGAGTAGACACAAAGTATAGCCTCTTGACTACTATATCTGTGATATCTTCTTTTAACAGTAAAAATATATTGTCTGAAAAGAAATAGCAATACATTACAATGAATACAGTACTAAATTAAACCACATTATTCAATGAATTATGTTAAAAATTTATTATAAAACAAAACAATAAAATTTTAACAGATTCGTGTCATTCACTAAACTTGTTTAACTGCTAACATTATCTATTACATTTTAATTTAAAAATTACATTTTAGACAAATTCTTATAAATGAATAAATACTTTGTTTTTTGGTATAAAACGTTGACATGCCTAAATAATGTCAAGTTAATATAACAAAAATGTAACATCTGTATTTTATTTTTATTATTTGTTTTATATTTTTACTATTAGAAGCTATCAAACTAACTTATCTTAAATTTATATTTATGTAGAGAAAACTTTAATTATTATTTATTGTTTAATATTAAACATTAACTACACTATGATTCCAATACTTTACTTGAACTATTAAAATTAATAGATTGCATTGCTCATCATAAAAATATAAAACACAAATCCATATGTAGAAACAATAAAATATCATATAATTAAAAAATCCATACTTATGCAAAACCTACAACAATCTAATCACATTGAGATGATAAATTTATTCCAAGAAAAATAAGTTTAAAGTTTTACAAATTTTTGTAAATTGTAAACCAAATTAAGGAAAGAGGTTAGTTCTTATAATAAAAGTCACCTCAATTATTACGATACTTGAAATCTTTTTTTAAAATCGTTCAAGAGCTTTGATCACCGAATTTAAGTATATAAAAGATTAAACAAAATTTTCTAAAATGTATAGAGTATATATATATATATAGTAAATATACTTTGTTTTAATAAGTACACGTGTATAAATATAATATCTATTTAATTGTTATATAATCATTGTCTTATGATAAAATGTCTGAACTATGAAATAAATTTACATGCGGACGTAAAAGACCAGCTTCATTAGACGAAAACACGAATTAATCGTTTCTGCCATCATTTTTTATTAGATTTTAAATTCCTTTAAAGAGATCAAGGTACACAATTGCAGTGGTTCCCAAACTTTTGTCATTCTTGGCGTCCTTGTTAAACTAAGAAGATTTTCTATGTTAAATTCTTATATGTTTTTTCTACAAAAAAGTTTAGTGTTTTTATTAAATAATTAGCTAAAAATAAATAAAACGCGTTTTATTTATAGAGATATCTGCAAACGTTCTATGAAAAAACGGTGGCTTTCTAGGGCATCGTAGCGTACTTTGGGAATCACTGCACAATCAGAAGATACTATCAACAAACTCATAAAGTAATTCTTTCGAAACCAAATGCAATTTTTACAGCATATAATACTATTATATGTATCTAACATGCAGATAAAAATATTACACATAATAAGCAACTGTAGCAATTTTTAATTAATGTACAAATTGTAAAATATTAAAATAAACTTTCTTAAAAATTTTACAACAATATTAAATAATTTTATATATTTATTTAAAATGTAGGCAAACAAAGAAAATTATCAAAAAAAGACATATATAAGTAACATATTTATAAAAGATCTTACCTAACTAAATAACGCAGTAGCTATGCACATTAGACAAAGAATTTATCGCAAACTTGACAATTTGCTCGCGAGTGAATTCAAGGTTCTAAACACAACTTAATGAGAGCTCTCTCTTTCTCTTTTCTTATTTCAGGAAAATCCTAATAGATTGTACAGTTTGATATCTAACGTAAGTCTTATCTCGAATCGAGGTATTATATATGCCCGAGTACAACGATAAATATCTTAGCAACGTACAACTTTTTGCATACACTGAATATTACATTTTATAATATATAAATGTTATGAATTACACTAAATATATATTATTTATTTTTTATTCTTATCATTGGAAAGTAATTTGTAGCATGGCCTCTATTATTTGATTAGTAAAAATGTTAGGGAAGTACAATCGGAGATAAAAGTACTGAAAATTTAAAATTTTTAAATATCTTCGTTTTACAGCATGTTATGAAATAAATTAATTATATCAATACTAGAAAGGAATGTATAATTAAAATGAAAAAGGCAATTTTACTAATGATGTTGAATATAATAAGAAATAATAGATAAGTAGTAAAAAATAGTAGTAAAAATATTAATAATGCTTAGATAATAATTATGACATTTAAATATTACTTATTTTTTATCATTTCATATAAAAAATATTTTTAATTTTAATTGTTCAACGTTCTAAAAAATAGAGAAAACGTAATAACATCGTTTATTCTTACATTGTTAAGAAGAAAAAACAAAGTTACAAACTATAATCATATTTTTAACTGAATACAGTGTTGATGTTAATTTTTAAACTTTCTTATACACTAGATGATTAATCGAGAAAATCCTTTTCGGATTGTTTATAATTTTTTTTGTCAACTGTTTAGTGAATGTCAATAAAACTGTGCAAAATCGATTTAAGCAATTGAAGTTACATAAAATAAAAATTTAGAAGACCTAATAACTTTATATTTCATATTATTTATATTATTTATGTTTAATCTGTTATGTGACTGAATTGCTATAAAACTACATGTAAAATAACAATTATTTTAAATTGCAATAACTTTTATAAGACATAGAGGATCAATTTGCAATTGTTAATTTAGGTTTAAGTATTAAATAAGAAACATTCTTTTAAATTTTCATTCCTTTCTTAACATTTTGACATACCTCCCAAACAAATTTTACAAGTGCTAATGTGTAGTAACTATCTCTTCTATTTTTAATTTTTAAATTTTGACAATAATAACGTAGAAGAACACAGTACTATTGGCTATATATAATTATACCTTAAATCTTGATTTATAAATTTTAATTTTAAAATATTTGAATTAAGTAAAATCACGTAATTTATATAGAAATGAAATGTGCTTTGATCTAAAAAATATTTCTTCTAACATCATAGCTTACAGTTTTATATTAACCATCTCCCAATATTTTAAATAACAATTTAATAAATTCTTCTATCTTTAATTTTGTTAATAAGTGTTGGATTTGTCATGGATCGAATAGAAAAGAATTATGTGTACAAGAAAAAGTAAGATGGTTTATTACGACTAAAGTAATGCTTTACATAAGTATAGAAAGAAAAAAAACGTGATAACTCGTTAGACGCACAAAAATCAGAATCACGCAGCGGAAATCCGTAAAACAAAAGCATAATACAATAGTATTATTGTATTATGGGACAAATTGTATTGGAACAAATTCAAAAGCTAATTAACACGAATAATGAAACGTGGAAGATACAAATAAAAAGTGTATTAAGGTTTAACGACTTATGGAAATACGTTAGCGGACAGTTAGTGAAGCCCGAAAATGACGAGGGCGAATGGCAAAATAAAGATGAAAAATCCATTGATTTAATAACACTAAGCATAAGCCGAATCAGTTTGATTACATCATAAACGTCACTATCTCGATCGAAGTATAGAACTCATTGAAAGGTATATATGAGTCCAAAAATCCAATAAGTCAGTGTGTATTATTCAAACAACTATTTAGATTTAGAACTATTATTATTTTTTTAGAACTATTTAGAAAGTCACAGAACGAAACTATGTCGGAATTCCTAAACGAATTTGTAAAAATTGGACTACAATTGGAAGAGTGTGACCTGAAGTTACCGGAAAATCTACTAACGATTTGGTTGCTGAATGCGCTACTCGGTGAGTACAAAAATTTCTGCGTAGCTATTAAATCCAGGGAAAAAATGCCAAGCCTGGAAGAATTAAAAACGAAGCTTCTTGAGGAAGAAGCTAGAAGATGTCCGTATGACAGAGAGGAAGGACCAAGCAAAACGGAAGGCGCTTCTCTCAAAGAAAAATGATGCGCTGAAGTTAGAAAAACCAGAACAGAAAAATACACATACAGAGCAAGGTAAGAGCTATAAATGTTATATATGTAATAAAATTGGTCATATATCAAAATACTGTAAATCAAAGCGTAATCAATATAATGATCCTCAAAATTAAGACAATAAAACTATATAATAAAGACAATAATACTATAGGGCTTTGAAAGTGAATTTGCAGAAACCAGGGATACAGTGTCTATACAGTGGCGCCACAATGCATATGTGCAATAACGAAAGAAGGTTTGAGAACTTAGATAAAAAGCAAACCATGCTCTGCTACCAACAAATTGTATTGCTCTAATACAATAGTACATTAGTTCTTATATATTTTACATTTATCTTGTTATACTCCAATGCTTCACGCGAGTAATGATACTTTATATCTATATGTTTACTCCTTGAATGAAGAACGCTATTTTTACATAAAGCAATTGCACTTTGGTTATCGCAAAAGATGTCCATCGGATCAGATGCGAGATCTCCCGATTGGATATGATGTAGCAATCTTTTCAAATAAATTGTCTCTTTGGTTGTTTCTGATAAAGCTATATATTCGGCTTCCATAGTTGAAAGCGCCACGCATTTTTGTTTCCGTGTGCTCCAACTAACTGTACCATCTGCCAAAATCTCGGTGAATCCAGAGCAAGAACGTCTATCTTGTATATCACCGATCCAGTCTGAATTAACATAGACTTCTAATTTTGTGCTTACCTTTTTGTAAGTAATTGCATAATCTATTGTTTTTCGCAAATATCGTAATACATGTTTGCCGATTTCCCAATGACTTAATCGCGGTTTTTCGCAGAATCGACTTAAAACACTTGCAGCAAACGCGATATCTGGTCGTGTTGCGTTTACTAAGTATATCAGACTATCTACCAATTCGCAATACGGTTTATTTTGCATTTCGATTTCCTCGTTTGGCTCACATTCATTTAGATTTATGAATTTTTCGTTTGTTTCTAGCGATGTTCCCAATGGTTTACTATCTTCCATAATAAATCTTTTCAACAAATTTTCAATATAACACCACTGAGACAATTTCATGTTTCCTGTATTGCTTTCTCTATCTATATGAATTCCTAATATATCCTTAATTTTACCTAGGTCTTTCATATTGAATTTTACTTTTAACACTCTTTTAATTTCTTGTATTCTTTTAAGACTCTTCGAACCGACTACTAAATCATCAACATAAACTATAATTACCGCGTCGCTGTTTACATTTTTATCGACATACACACATGGACATGCGACAATTTTCTCAAGTTAATACTAGTTAAATAACTATCTAGTTTTTAGTACCATTGCCTACTCGATTGTTTCAGACCATATAACGGCTTATTAAGTTTACAGACCTTGTCTTTTTGGTTATTTTCGATAAACATTTCTGGTTGTACCATATATATTTCATCGCTTAGGTCTCCTTGGACGTATGCCGTGATTACATCTATCTGATGTACATAAATTTCCTTTTCTACACAGCATACTAAGAACGTCCTTATGGTCTTGTATCTGACAACTGGCGAGAATACTTCGTCGTAATCGATTCCTTCCTTTTGTTGATAACTTCGTGCGACTAATCTAGCCTAATATTTATTTATGGAGCCGTCCTGGTTTTCTTTTAGTCTAAAAAGCCGTTTATTAGTCAAGACTATTTTTTCTTTTGGTTTACTTACCACTATCTAGACACGATATCCCTGGTTTCTGCAAATTCACTTTCAAAGCCCTATAGTATTATTGTCTTTATTATATAGTTTTATTGTCTTAATTTTGAGGATCATTATATTGATTACGCTTTGATTTACAGTATTTTGATATATGACCAATTTTATTACATATATAACATTTATAGCTCTTACCTTGCTCTGTATGTGTATTTTTCTGTTCTGGTTTTTCTAACTTCAGCGCATCATTTTTCTTTGAGAGAAGCGCCTTCCGTTTTGCTTGGTCCTTCCTCTCTGTCATACGGACATCTTCTAGCTTCTTCCTCAAGAAGCTTCGTTTTTAATTCTTCCAGGCTTGGCATTTTTTCCCTGGATTTAATAGCTACGCAGAAATTTTTGTACTCACCGAGTAGCGCATTCAGCAACCAAATCGTTAGTAGATTTTCCGGTAACTTCAGGTCACACTCTTCCAATTGTAGTCCAATTTTTACAAATTCGTTTAGGAATTCCGACATAGTTTCGTTCTGTGACTTTCTAAATAGTTCTAAAAAAATAATAATAGTTCTAAATCTAAATAGTTGTTTGAATAATACACACTGACTTATTGGATTTTTGGACTCATATATACCTTTCAATGAGTTCTATACTTCGATCGAGATAGTGACGTTTATGATGTAATCAAACTGATTCGGCTTATGCTTAGTGTTATTAAATCAATGGATTTTTCATCTTTATTTTGCCATTCGCCCTCGTCATTTTCGGGCTTCACTAACTGTCCGCTAACGTATTTCCATAAGTCGTTAAACTTTAATACACTTTTCATTTGTATCTTCCACGTTTCATAATTCGTGCTATTAGCTTTTGGATTTGTTCTATTCTTCCTGCGTTCATTTCGTTTTTGTGGATTCTTACTTTTTGTTTTTCCACGTGGCCGTTGCACGTGGAACGCTAACCTTGTCACTTCGTTTAATTTTAATCTTTTCTTTTCACTATTCGTTTTGGGCCCATAACCTGTGGGTCTTATTTGTTGTGGATCGAATAAAAAAGAATTATGTGTACAAGAAAAAGTAAGATGGTTTATTACAACTAAAGTAATGCTTTACATAAGTATAGGAAGAAAAAACGTGTTTACTCGTTAGACGCACAAAAATCAAAATCACGCAGCGGAAATCGCTAAAACAAAATCCCTCACGGTATAGAATCCCTACTCACGGTCAAATAGGATCCCTAACGGTCAAGTCTCGGACCTGCCACCTATAATATGTTTCCTATACGTAGAGTATCAGAATCCCTATAGAGTATATATGTGACGCGCTGATTACCGCCAAATTCAACAGTAAAAAATACAAAACTTTCTTACTTGTTTAACTATTAATTAAAGTTAACAAAACTAAACCTTTAAATATTTATATATTTTTAACTAAATATTGCCACATAAATTTGAAAGAGTTTTTATGGACAATGATTATATATTCTATTTTCTGTTACTAATATATTAATAATATCATTTCAAAATTTGTTTTAAATAATCGTATAAATAATCATGTGTAACGTATATAATTTTTATAAACTATTAAAGCATAATATGTTTATGCACTTATTTTTTAAAATAAGATTAACAGTTAGATTCAAGAAATTCCGTATTTACATTTCATGAACATACATTCATATTTTTATATCATTTTCCATCGTTATACTATGAAAAACAATAACATCAATTTTATTTATTCCTTACTAAAATATTTAAAATTGTAATATTAAATGAAAATGTAAATTTTATTTTTTTTAGAGTAATATTAAATAATATATAATTTTACGAATATAAAATTTTTGTAAAAAAGTTACCTAAAATATATCTTTCTTTTTCTGTGATAACTTGTTATTCATTCTGAATCATTTTTCCAAACTATTTTTGAACAATTTATTTTAAAAATAGTGTTTATCCAAATATGGAAAAAATAAGTTAATAACAGTAAAAAAATTAGAAAGTTTTGTATATCATTCAATTGGCATTTATGGTATTGGTTTTTACTTATAATTTAAATTAATTTAATATTCAGACTATTTAACAATGAAACTGGCAAAATAATGATTGATTAAATATACCTATTTTATAAATTATTTTGCTTTGAAGTCATAATAGCAACGTCAAAATTTTCGAGCATCGCTAATATTTATAGTGGTGATCTGATCTGATATTTTCACTTAAAAAAAAAAAAAGGTAAAAAAATAAACCACATTTAAAGTAAATATTTTATTTACAGTCTATAATTTTAATGGTATTTTATGACACAGACACTGTTAAAGAACAGTTTGATTTTCATTTATTTGCAGTATATTTCCACAGAACTATATATAAATATTTTGAGTTTTTTGTTCAAATATAAATAATTTTGTATTAAATATTTATTTTTTATTGATTAATAATAATGAAACGTTCATTTTGAAATGAATTACGTAAATAGGAATAATGAAAAATCATATTAATGTTCAACGATATTCTGAAAATCAATTTAAACATAATTGTGGTTCTGCAAAGTATATAAATTAAAACTCAATAATTGTTTTACATTGTTTTTCTATTAATATGCTGCATCAACAATATGTTAAAAAGATAGTATTACATTTTTATTTAGAAAAAAAATAGTAAATAGAAGATCAGGAATTATTATTTACAAAAGATAAATGCAGTATAAGAGCGATCAGTAATTTATGGTTAATAATTTTTATTGGTCGTCAATGAATATATTTAATCAGATATAATAACGTATAAGTGTATAATTTAAAAACATTTGTTAAATAATTACAACGAAAATTTTTTATTTCAGGTAGAACTGCAAAGGTTAGAAAAACATCACCCATAAGAACTAAAATTTAACATGACTATAGTGATTCCAGAAATTTTTGCTTGCTGACCGACACAGTGCCGTAAAATTATCGGGTTCTCAGTAAAATTATCGTACGCACATAAAAAAGTTTCAATCTCAAGTTTTTGACTAGGTTAACAAAATGCGACTGTGGAGCAGTGCTGTCAGATCGTGGGTAAATCTTACCCTCTCCCTGTGCCACTGGGATTGCACACAATGAAAGTTTTCCATGTCCGTGTGTTTGGCTTCTTTCGACATCCCAAACACACGGACATGGAAAACTTTCATTGTGTGCAATCCCAGTGGCACAGGGAGAGGGTAAGATTTACCCACGATCTGACAGCACTGGACAGCACTGCTGGTGAGTAGTAGTTTTCGATGCATCGATGCAACGATGCAACGATACAAACGATACATACCGCCGTATTCATAGTGCGCTCTTAACTTAAGTCCGCCTTAAGCATGGTCTTAAGCCAGCGTTTACATTCATAGACGCAATCTTAAGATATGCTTCAAAGTTTGATCTTAGCTAAGATGTGTAATTGGATAGATATTCATAGTCATCGCTTAAAACGATATTAAGAATTACAAACTGTTGATACATAGTC